GTCTATTTTAGACCGATACAGTCATTGTTAAGTGAGATCTAAATCAGGATGAAACTATATGTCACCTTGGAAAGTATGTGTTCACACACCCACATTTGTTAAAATAATATGATTTAGTGTTTTTAGGGGAGAACTGGGAGGAGGAAACTGCACTTAACCCCACTTAGGTTGCTGATATTCATTGGCAAATTACTGATATTTTAACTGCTTCTGCTTCCAGGTTAGTTTTCCCATGTTATATTCCACTTTTCTTTCACAGACTTATTAGATTTCCAATCTGTTGTGCAACCTTCCCAGGGGCCAATAAGATGTTTTTGGGAACCCAAGAAAAGGTCATGAACTATTGGCTTGGCTCCCTTCCATACATTTTCTCTGGCCTAGGGAGACAATACAGAGGCATCTGATCTCACTGAAAATGGCAATAGCACTTAAAATTATGTACCGCTTCACAGTGCTTTACATCCCTCTCTAAGCAATTTTACAGAGTCAGCGTATTGCCCCCATCAATCTGGGTCCTTGTTTTACTGACCTCAGAAAGATGGAATACTAAGTCAACCTTGAGCCTGGTGAAATTCAAACTCCTGGCAGTCAGCAGAATTAGCCTCTGATACCCTACTCTAACCACTGTGCCACCATGGCTGGTGTCCAGGTGAAATTAGGCATTTTCCCCCAATTTGGATCACATTACAGTCAACATTGTCACTTTAATTTCCCTTTTAATTCCCTTAATTCCTAGGGAGTGGTTTGAAATCTTTCGCCATCATTCTTTTTTTTAAAAAAAAACAACCATTCTGTTATTTGGTTTCATCACATTTGGTGACCTCACTGCTCATTCCTAACTTCAGGTAATTTCTGAACTGGTTTAAAAGCACTGTGCCAAGATGGATTCTTCTGGGATTCCATTGTTTACACCACTTAGTATAGGCATTGCTGTATATTCTTTCTCTCTGATTTCTCTTCTTTAACCTGTTATTGATCTATAACAGAACTTCTTAATAAATTGGAAATCAGGGAGGTGGCCAGCTATTTTCCCATCCAAGCAATGACAAGATTTAAAGCTACCTAACATTACCCCTTGAAGGAACACCTGGTGGACAATAGTGGGTTCTTGTTTACTCAGTCAGTTCTGAGTCTTTTGGATATCATTTTGCTAGATTTTTCTGACAGCAAGAAATCTTTGATATTAAAGAGCTTCGATAGGTGAGGCCAGAAGAAAGCAATTTTGGGGGCCAGTGGGAATATTTTAGAAAATATTCTGTGAGCATATTATGTGTGCTGCCATGGTGAAGCTTGACTCTTAGTAGAATTGCTGCCATGATGCTTTTATAAAATTTGCAGTTATCAAATGATGAACTGATGGGCTTGTTTTTTTCTACTATTCAATTCATACTTCATACCCCAAGATATTGTACTCCAATCACCCACTTCTATTTTCTGTTGGATAGAACTAAACACTTCCAGACAAAGCTCTATGCTGTCAATAGCCTTATTTTTGAGAAATGATTTTTCAAACTTATTTTGGGCCCAGAGGTATTCTTGGGAATGTCAGGTTATTGAACAGTCAATTTGTCCAAAAAACAATTCTTCCAAGCGCAATACCCATAGTATCTTCTTTAACAAGATTTATGGCAACAGAGTACCAAGAATTTCAGCAACTGAACTATTTCTAATTTAGAATCAATTCATTTCACCAATATAACTAGGTGGAAACTTTCTTTGTTTTGTTCCAACAGCTTTCTGTGAACCAATGAGAGATTCTTTTACTGATAAAAAAGGAACTTGCAGGTAGATGTTTACAAAGCTTATCAGGCTGTAAACTAACCATTATAGAAAATAACCATGATGCTAAATGCTGTAGTCTGTTTTGCTACATTCCAGATTTCTATTTAGCTATTTTTATATGAAAATTTAAAAAAAAGGCTTGCACAAAGAGCCAGATTAATAATTGAATCGGTGAACTCAAGTATTAATGAACTATTTTTCTTCTATATTTTCTACCCGCCCCATGTAAGGGGTCCAGTAGTTCTCCCAATGTGTTGTCTTCATGATGAGATCATACATTTTGGGTTGCAAAATATAGTTCTATTTTCAGATGTTCTCTTGCACCATGTGGACTGCTCATAGACTTGGATTTTGTTATTTCTGATTTAAAGAACCTAAAGACAAAAATGTATTAAGAAGATAGATTTGGATTATAATAAGCCACCATGCTGCTCGAGATCTATGAAATGCTTCATTGTTACAGAGACATTACAAGAAATGGATGAATTTTACAAGCATTTAAGTCCCTACTATATTGTGGATATGAATACTATAATTTAGAGCATAGAGCTCATAAAAATCCATGCTTTGCATTCAGGCATACATGAAAGGTTTTTTCTAGACCATTGTAAAAATGTGATGGTTGTGCAACTTATTAAATGAAGGTTATGTTTGGGTTTTAATATCATAGGTTATGAAAGGACTAAGCAAATAGTAGGGGAGAAGATACCACTCTTAACCATCACTGAAGAACTTGAGTTGTAAAGTTTCATTAAGGGACAGAGTGTTGTTTTTCATCTCACTTTGTTACATCCAGCTTGAAAACTTCTGATCAGGGGTTTAGTAAGTTATGTATAGCATTAGCTTTACTTCACTATTTTAATGTGCTGCAAAAGTAAAATTCCTTCAAGGGAAGTTTAGCTCCCAGTTACTACATAGATACATGCATATAATTCATTGCTCTCTTCTAGAGGCTTATTGACTTAGTAGTCAAGACAAAGCCTTGACAGGAGGCTGATAGACACACAGCCAATACCTCAGCCACACATGTTCTTACGAAAAGGCCAGCCAATCTGCAAACATCATCTCCATCAACCAATCAAGAAATGACAACACAGCCAACCTCCCCACCAGTATATATACGGCAGCTCCGATCATGCTTTGCTCGCATAAGCATGAAGCCGAAAGCACCAGCCTGAAGATGGCGAGTGGGACCTCGTCGAAACGTTGCCAAGATACTCTCAATCTTACACGGGAAAAGACCTGGACATGCCAAGACCTGCACACCTGTACCCGTGAAAATCTACGAAAACATATGTGTGTGTGTGTGTGTGTGTGTGTGTGTGTGTGTGTTGCTTAACTCTGTATATGTACTTCTCAAAGACAGACAGCTCATTTTTGGCTGATAGATTTATTTATCCATGAGATTTGACAGAATACAAACCTTTCCAGAAAAGAACCTTTTACTCAATCATGTGGCAAGCTACTAAATTGTAGCTTCTGTGGGTAGAAGCAACCACAGTTGATTTCTTACTTTGTTCAACCCAGGAAACCTCACAATGAAAGCAAAACAAAATTAAGTAGGTAAATTCCCCTCATGTCTCCTGAGCAAATGGCAGCCCTCCATCCAACTAAGCTGATCTCTTGGCTGAGGAGTATGTTCAGAGAAGGCCCAACGCTACAGTGGATTTCCAAAATGGCATTCCCTCCATATAGGCACAGATGAGACCAGCTTGCTACACGGACTGGTCTTTTTTTCCTGGAAGAGGGTGAGGGCAAAATTGCTCGTTTATTGATCCAGCTGGCTGGGTATAGCAGCAGTTGCCCATTTGTAGCTTCATTAGCTTGCTTTGTCCAAGCCTTGCTTTTCAGTGCAAGATATTTTCAATGTAGTGCTGCAGACTCCTAGGAGCATGGATCTCCACCATTCTTACTTTTCCAAGACACTCATTTTCAAGCAAGGTTGTTTGCACTGATTATGTGGTCAAAAAGACCCAAGTTTTAATCACCCCATAGTGGCCACATCTTGACTCTTGACCCACCCTTGGGTGTTCCTGCATAAATCCCAAATGTTAAATTTGAGCTGGACTGATGAAGGAACTGAAAAAAGGGCATTGAGTCTTGATGGATGGGAATGGGAGTTAATAGGAAAATGAACCTCCCGGAAGAGAGTTACAGTAATTTGAACAGGGAATTTCTCTGGGAAATTCATTTTTTGTGACTGAACCTAACAGAGGCACACACATGCAACCTTCGATTTTAACAAAATGTTTTGTAAAAGGAAGCAGAGTTTTACAGAAAGTAAAATTAGATGCACAATGATGAATTGTTTTGAATGTATCAGGTTCATCCAATTTTTAAAAAAACAACTGAACTTAATCAGCCTCCTTTTCCAAAGTTTCAACGTATTATATAATGGGTAGATTGAAATAAGCTCTCCTTGAACTTCTAAAGCTTAGGCTGATTTTAACTGTCTCGGCTAGTTCTTGCCAAAGCTAGATAAATTACAGGTAGCCCTCAACTTACAAATTATGTAAAGTTGAATTCAGCAGTAAATTATGCTGGTTGTTAAGGACATCGCTATGTGACTGCGGGCAATTTTACAATCTTTTTTTGTGACAGTTGTTGGGTGAACACGGCAGTCGCTTCATGAAACTGCTTTAGCCCATGGACATTTTTTTTTTTGCATTTTTTCTGAAGTAAATGCCGATTTCCGGCAAAAACCCCTCATAAATTGCAGTCATGTGACTGTAAACCGCCATAAATGCAGTTGCCAAGTGTCCAGAATGCAATCATGTGACTTGGGGAGAAGGATGGAATGAAACTGGGCTGTTGTAAGTACTTTCTGGGAGGGCTCTGTCATATCTTTGAATGGTTGCTAAGCGACTGATCATAAATCAAGAGCTATCCAGCATCCAAAATTGGGTAAAAGTGGGCTTTTGGGGGATAACAATATACAAACTCATTATCCATCACAAAAGGGATATTTAAACTGACTTAAAGATGGTCACGTGTACTAAAATACATTCAAAAACCTCTCAAATATTCCCATTAAGACAAAACTTGATCAAATTGTGAATGGTAATCGGTTGAAATAATATGAATTCATTTAATGATACTGCTTTTATGATACAGGTAGTCCTTGAGCTATGTCCATTCCTTCAGTGACTGTTCAATGTTACGATGGTACTGAAGGAAGGGACTTCGAGCTGGTCCTCAAAGTTCTTTTTTTTTTAAAAAAATAAATGGTTTTGGTATTGAAAGAAAAAGTTTCGGAAGCACTGGTCTAGGCAATGCCAACTTGGAAAGCAATAAACCGCAATTTCTCAGGCATTGTTGATATAAAAATTAGCACAAATAATTGTGTGACGGTCTTCGTTGAAGAGCTGAGCTGTCACGTTAAACTCTCCCTGTAAGAAAAAGAAAGAAAGGAATATGTTCTGAAGAAATTAATTAATTTGTGGAGATCACCACTTCTCTTTCAGAATGTTACTGTGGCTGTTGCTCTGAATAAGTCAAAACAACCCCGTATAGGGGAAATTGTCAAAAGCACTCCTGAAAATGAGACTGGCATTGAAATAAACTGGAAAGTAAAACTTTTGAATGACTTGTGAAAGACCAATAAGATGAGATCGTTTTAACTGGGTGAAAGTACTCTTTTCCTCATGCTGCTACAGCATAATTCCTTGAAGGCTGCAAGCAATACAGTCACAGGCCAAAGGAAGACCTAATGTTATTTGCTTTAGCAAAGAGATCCGAGGATCCTGTTGTCTGAAGATTCATCATTTGCATCTGCTGGTTTTCTGCACTTTATAAACCTTTAAAAATATTAGGATAATGGGGAAGGGGGGCTATTGCAGTAATAAATGTAATGACAACTAGCAGGGTGACACTTCCTGCATTTTTGACTCCCTCCTTCTATCATACTTTCCTAAATAAAGTCGATAGTTTTATATCTTTATTTTCTAACAAACACCAGTCTGCAATAGGGGCTTTCTACAAACATAATTCTTCCGGTTTTATTTTTCATTGCCTGTACTTCAGAGTTAACTGCCATCACTTATTAGAGCAGGACAGGACAGGAAGTCCCCTAAATGCTGCTGAACAAAACTTCCTTTACTGCTTGGCACGCTAGTTGTCACTTCTAGGATTTGTTCAACAACAGCAACAACACAACGTCTCCACAATTGCATTAGAGAATTAAATCATTTGCCTATACGCTTTCAGGTGATCTCCTATGAAGTACTCTGCTGATCAAACCAAAATTTCCTTTAGTCTGGCTTCTGTTCTCATTATGGCTATATTCTAATATAAAGTTCCAACCAGTTTTCCTTTTTTTTCAAGCCAGGAATTATATTTATCTGTGAGTGCTGCAGTTGGAGCTACACTTCACAGTTTGTTTGGACAAGATTTTATTTGCTTTGATTTACCCTGAAACTTAATGAAAGCTTAAAATTGTTAATGATTCTCCTCTGCTGTTTTTAATTATGTTTGTCTGCCACATTAGAAATTACAATGCACTGTAGTAACAGTTATCTCTAGAGTATTCAAATAACCCCGAGAGTCAGGCTATGTACCTTTAGCCTACGCAGTTGTCAAGCAATGATATCAATTGCTCCCAGGCTGTCATATGAGAATACACGATCCTTATGCATGACATTTTACTAGATAATGTTGCGACAACCACATTCGTCTTTAACATGTCTTACTTCTCCAGTACATTTGTTTCTAAAAGTAGCATTACTGCACCCTATTAGATATTTGACAAATAATGTTTTTCCTTCATAAAATTTAGAAAAAAATAGGAAAAACTTACCTGTGGGATGTTCTCCATGTTCAGGGAGACGGGCCCTGAGTAGTAAATATATTCTGCAAAACAAACATTTCCAGCGATGAGCAAGAAAACTGGGTGAGACAAAACCTATTTTATACAATGAATGCCATGAATAACCTCTATGATTAAAACACCCCAACTGCATACACAGAGAAACACTCTCTTGGACAGAAACCAAGAATCGGATCCCTGCTCAGTATTTAATTTAGATGCAACATTACTATTCTAATATAGACTTCACATGCTGTCTTTAACTCTCTGAAATAATGAGCTGCTGATTTTTTTTAAAAAACAATACTGTTCCTGTCTCTGTGTATGGTTCAAAGGTTAATAATATTATTTATTAACAAATAATCTTTACTATTTATAGTGGTTTTTCAAATCTCAGCCAACAGCCCACTTCCAACTGACTCCACTATACCCAAATTTCCAATCCTTAAAAAAAATAGTAAATATTTAATTCTTTGCACATGTCAGACAATCTTAAAAGGCCCTGTAATGACCCTGCAATAAGTCAGTATAGAGGTTACTGAAAGAACATGTATTCTTTGTTTTTGTCTATTATGTAAATACAAAATAATCCTTCCAATCAAATGTACAATTTCATAACCTAAAATATGAATCATAACTCAAGTCAAAAAGATTAACGAAAAAAAGGCAGTTCAATTCTACCACCATTGCCCCAGGGTCTCAAGGGAATAGTTTTTGTCAGTCAATGAAACCCCAGCATTATGGGGCCAATACAACTTTGGGGAGCTACTCTGATGTCTGGACCACTATTGAGGTCTATCTCCAGCCTCTCATCCTCTTAGTATTTCATGAAGTGGGGACACTAAGTGTTATGTCCTGAGAACTCTAGGAGTTCTCACTCAGGTCCACTCACTTTGTGTGGGCGTTCTACCCTTCACTCATTGGTTGGTTCTCCCCAGCAGCCAGCTATAAAAGCAGGCTGCGGGGTCCCACCAGTTGCTGATTGCTGCGAGCCAGTCTCCAGGCGTGGCAAGCACGGTCAGCCCTTTATTGTTATAATAAAGTATTGTTGCACTCATGCTCTGGTTCAGCCTCTCTTTTCCCAAACTTAACACTAAGGCTTTCATTAGGTGGGCAGATTCTAATCGGAGGAGGCAGTGCCAAAGGTAACAGAAAGTTTGAGCATGTAGGCATTTTACAGGTAAAGACCAGCACATGGAATTGGATTTCCAAACCTAAAGGCAGCTAGTGCAGTGATGTGCTGCTGAAGTGGTTGTCACCCACTGGAAGCCAAGCTGTCATATTCTGAACCAATTGCAATTTCTGGCAGCCCATGGTAGAAGGGCATGATAATCTCTGTTGTAAGACTATCTAGCTCAAGCAAGTTATAACAGCTGCACCAGTTGAAGCTGGGATATGATGCCCATAACTATGCCTTCTACCTGCTGCCCAAGCAGAGACATAAATCCAGCAGACGAACCAAGTCATGAATTTGCTCTTTCAGGAGGATTGTGACCCTCCCCAGAAGAGAGCCTACTTACTTTATTTTATTTATTTATTTATATTTTTTTATTTGATTTGTCAATCGCTTACAAGATAATACGTATAAGTATATACATAGTTATGAATACATGAAATGGGTACATATAAGAAAAATAAAAGAAACAATAGGACAGGGATGGTAGGCACATTGGTGTGCTTATGCACGCCCACTACAGACCTCTTAGGAAAGGGGTGAGGTCAATAGTAGACAGTCTGAGGTTAAAGTTTTTGGGGTTTGGGGAAGAAACCACAGAGTCAGGTAGAGTATTCCAGACATTGACCACTCTGTTTCTGAAGTCATATTTCCTGCAATCAAGTTTGGTGCAGTTAACCTTGAGTTTGTTTCTATTGTGTGCTCTTGTGTTGTTATGGTTGAAGCTGAAGTATTCATTGACAGGTAAGTCATAGTAAACACATCTTGTTGGAATTCAGTTTAAACTTGTTTTGTCCCATTTAATTACTCATAGCCTGCAGACTCCAACTACCCCCACTATTGTCCACAGGTGGTGATATAAAACAGGATATCATCCATATATTGATTTATATTTTTTCCTTCTGTTTAATCATGTCTGATTCTCAGAGATTGCCTGGACAAGTCCTTGCAGTTTTCTTGGCAAGGTTTTTCTTCCTATTTCCTATCCAGCCTACTTCCTAGGGCTGAGAGAGAGGAACTGGCCCAAGGTCCCCCAAATGGCTTTGTATCTTAAGGTGGTACTCCAGATTTCTAATGAGAGGAGTGACCAGGAATTTGACTATTCCTCCCTCAGGACTGCCAGCTAGAACTATCCACTCAGAAAGAAGTAGAATAACCACGTGAAAGGGCCTTAACCTCAACCCCTGTAAAGGATTTAATGGATACCATGGTAAAAGCTACTAAACTCTATCTAGGCACATTTACTTTATAAAAGATCCTAACCCAGGATGTTCAACAGTTTCAAACCTATGTGCAGGATTGAACTCTTCCTGGAAGGGATTCAGATAATCCAAAATATTTCTGATGCTCTGTAGCTGATGCTTTAATGCCATTAACATCCTGCAAGGACCCTACCAAGATGTAGAAAATAGAGAAAAAATATAATAAGGGAAAACTCTATGTGCTGCCTTCAGTCCTTGAATGAAAAATTAATAAACATATGATGAATAATTGTAGGTGTGGAGTAATAGTCATAGTACAGTCACTGAAAGAAAGTGGAGTTGGTCAGAATATTCTAGGAAACGTAAAAATTGCAAATAACTATATTGCTTAAAAACAAGCAAACTGTAAGCAGACAAGACTTCTAAACAGATGAATGACAAAATGAATCAGAATTTTTATGTAATAGTGAGATAATATTGCATTGCATTGCTGTTTCAACCAAGATGCCTTACTCTCATATGATTCAATTAATAGTCTGTTAAGTGCCTTGAGGAAGTTAGATTCTTTGTTTAATGGTCATTGAACTATTTATAATTCTGGTGTAGGTCATGCTGCATATGTGCTTAGAAGTTCCTTACATTCCCTGCCCAAATGTTCTTGTTTATCTTTTTGATTTTTCCACAGAGAAAGAATAATAGCAGAACTATGCATGCATACTTTAAAGGCGTCCTGAAACAACAACAACAACAAAAGGCAGAATGTCTACTAACAAAAAACTCTTCAAAGTTTATGTTTTGTTTCAGTCCTGATCGGTGGCTTTCTACTAGCTGCCTCAGCTTGGCTGAGTTCCAGACTCATGTTGGTTTCCCTTCAGTGTTTGGCCAGAGCCAGGCTGGGGCGAGGATTTCCTTTGCAATCTTCTCCTGGCTCCCCAGATGGCTGGTTTCTATTGAACAGTGTGTGTGTGTGTGTGTGAGAGAGAGAGAGAGAGAGAGAGGGAGGGAGAAGAGAGGGAGAAGGGGGAGAGAGATGGACAGAGGGGGAGAGAGAGGGACGGAGGGAGGGAGAGGGAGAAAGAGGAAGGGGGGAAAAGGGGGAGAGAGGGAGGGATGGGGAGAGAAAGGGAGAGAAGGAGAAGGAGAGGCGTAGAGAGAGAGGGAGAGGAGTAGAGAGGGATGCTGTTCACCACCAAAAGTGGTACTTTATAACTGAATGATGTCAGGGAAGGGGCTGGATCAATTCTGAAGGTTCTTTTCTCCTCTCATTGTAGTTATATTTTTGTCAGTTAGCTAACATTTTTTCTTTCTTCCCCTTGACCTTGGAGATATGGTTGTGCACAGGATATATTTTGATTTTCCCTTATGTAATCACTGTGTAAGTTTCATGGAATATTACATATGTTTCCAACAGGCAAACATTTAATCAACTGGGTGCCAGCATAAAATTAAAGTTGCTTTTAAAAAACAACTAATATTCTTCCTAAAAAGACCCCCATTTTATCTGGAGGGTGGGTTGTCTAGTACAGGTGATCCTCAACTTACGATCACAATTCAGTCCAAAATTTCTGTTGCTAAGCAAGACATTTGTTCAATGGATTTTGCCCCATTTTGCAACCCTTCTTGCCTCAGTTGCTAAGTGAATCCCTGCAGTTGTTCAGCTAGTAATATGGTTATTAAGTGAATCTGTTTACCCCATTGATTTTCCTTGCCAGAAGGTCGCAAAAGGTGCATCGCATGACCCTGGGACACTGCAACCCATCATAAATATGAGTCATTTGTCAAGGAACTGAATTTTGATCATGTGACCATGGGTATGCTGCAACCATCGTAAATGTGAATAGCAGTCATAAGTCACTTTTTTCAGTGCCAAATGGTCACTAAATGAACTGTTGTAAGTTGAAGACTATCTGTATGTATTGATGGACACCCAAAACCTGCTAGATTTATAATAACTGATGAATGAGTCTGCAAAATTTATGGCAGAACAATAAATAACTTGAAAGGAATTTTTAAAATATTAGTAACTAAATATTTTAATAAACTAATATTAGTTTATTTGTTTTTGGAATCCTAATAAAGATTTTGGGGGGTTATATCTTCAACTGATTCATGTAATCTAATCAGAAGTGACATGTTGCAGTATATATCATTACAACTTCCTTTCTTTTTCAAGTTTCAGAGATTCTGAGTCCTAAAACTGAGGTGGTCCCTATTTGAGAGAGTCTTTCTCTCTCTCTCCAATCACATCTACCCATCCCAACAGGTCAGTGGTGTGGTTCAAACAATATTACCACCGGTTCGGTGGGTGTGGTTTGGTGGGCACGCTTTCCGCATGCGCACACACTTTGCGCATCTGCGTGGGGCAAACGCGTACTTTGCACAGGCGCAGAGGTTTTCTGACTCTCCTCCTGCAATCCTGCGCTCTCCCTGTGTTGTGCAAAGCAGCTGCGCTTCAAAAGCAGGGAATAAAAGGTTAGCATGGGAGCCCAGGCGGGCCCAACAGCAGAGTGTCGGAGAGAACTGGATTGGTCTCCACTGCTTATAAGCACTACCGGCTCGGGAGAACCGAGTCAAACCGGTAGAATACCACCACTGCCACAGGTCCTACAGGAATGCACACATCCAACACAAAGGAATATCACTGATGAGACCCAGAAGGAGAGCCATTTCTGCTATAGCACCTGGATCATTACTCCTCCAGTAGGCAGTCTGGTGCCAACATGACTGGCCTTCCAGAAGGACCTGAAGTCATGGCTCTTCCATCTGACCTGGAAATCTGGCAGTGATGCTGTGGCACCAGCAAAGGGGCTGTATTATTAACGAGCTTACTATGTTTTCCCACTGGTTATATTTTTATGATTTTAATAGTTACAATATTTCATTTTTGCATTTATGTGTTTTGGTGGATTTTTTTTTAAAAAAAAACTTTGTTAAGCCATCCAGGGTCGTGTATGTGAGAAGGACAGCTGTGTATGTTGAATGAAGAAACAAACAATAATGAAAAAACATGGCTTTCCATTTGTCTGCATAAGAGACTGTTTGTGTGGCTTCTTCAATAGATCGCTTTTCTTTCTCTTGGATTTTCCAGAGGTTTTCTTTCTTTTTTATTAAGTACTTCCTCAGAATGAGGTAGCTGTCAGGGAGATTTGTGAGCATATGAGAATTTAAGTTTGTCATCAGTCACATGTCCATAATTTGCATGATTGTGTGCTTAGATAGCATTTGGTTATTATTGCCTGGTATCTTTGAGCTATATAAAAATTGTGCTAGCAGATCCTCAGAGCACATCTTAATGGATGGATTGTGGCATCAGCATGAAGCTCACTGCACTGTATTCATGATTATAACTCTGATTAAGATGTCAACATGAAAGACTTAAGATACCTTTGAATCTGTTTGATTATCATATTGTGCTGTAAATGATGCTCATTTCTCATTTGGTCCACTATCTATGTATTCATATATGTGAAACAGAATTATTAAGCAGAGCAGGTGATATTAATCAGCTGTTTGACGAAGCAGAGAACCTCTAATTCCTAGCCCAAATTTCTAAATCTCTCTATATAAAAGCAAAATACCACTCACACATCATCACAAAATTTCCAGAACCGTAAAGCCTACAAACTTTAAATTTGGCACGTATCTTCCTCTTGGCTTCTAGGTGTTCACCAAGAAAGGATTTTTTTAAATGAGCATTAGCATTTCATATAATATTAACACGCTCTGATGCTAAGGAGTTCTACTCCTCCTCCCCACCTGGAAAGAAATATGTTCCAAATGCAAAACACAAGCAGAGGAGAGGAGTTTCACTTTCACTTTTAGTTTCACAGCCCGGGCTCCTTGCTGTCTCCTTCTTGCTCACACAGCAAATACCGTTTCACTTTCCAAACAGCCCTCAACTCTCGCTCACACTGACAGGATGTTAATTGACATTGTTATTAATCTCAGGGAAGATTATAACTTTTTATTAACACAATCCTCTTCAACTTTCTAATTATGAAAATAGACCAAAGCTTATACTTTCAAAGCTCTTATTTCTGATTTGCTTTTTTGTTTATGTCCTCTGTCTCTTTGTTTTGTGCCTTCAAATTACTTTTTTTAAAATTTCTGGTGACTGCCTGGATAAGTCCCTACATTTTTCATGACATCATTTGCCATTGCCTTCTACCAAGGGCTGAAAGAAAGTGGTGCAAGATCACAGGCTGGCTTTGTGCCTAAGTAGAACTAAAACTCACAAGTGTCTGGTTTCTAGTTTGTTACCTTATGCTACCACACCAGACTGACTCTCTGTCTTCTTATAGTCAAGCTCTTGTTTTTTTCTAGTTAATCAGTGATAAACTAGAGATAAATTATTTGTTTTTGTATTCTTCACCACACTTTATGTTGTTGATTTTCAAGAGGTGCTCAACCATCACTGCAATATAAGTGGTAACTCATCCTGTATATAACATTCTATTTTTCTTTTCTTTTTTTTATAAAAAGTTTTTATTTATAACATTCTATTTTTCCATCTGGTTGGATTTCTTGTACCTCAATTAGCTAGAATTCCAAGGTTCCTGTTCAACCACTAATGAGTTGTTTTGGCTTCTTCTCTGTTCTTAGGGCTTTTCCTTCCTTCCACCAAGTTCATCTTTGGTGAACTTGGGTTCCTCTGAACTCACTGATACATCCCTCATGTGAATGGATGTTTCCTTACTGATAGTTAAAAATTGTTATTAGCACAATATATTTTCAGTTATGTATTCAATTATGTATTAGTATTGTGCAAATGTGACATTCCTTTGGATAACACAGAATTAACAGTAGCTAGAACTTTCATGTGCCTCTCTTAAATAAATGGATATTTTTGCCAACAGCATTTGCCTTGAGAATATTTCTTTAAGATACACGACTATGTGAAATTTCCTACTAAATATTTTCTTTACTTTATTTACAGAATTTCCAGGCTGCTCTTTGTTACAACTGATTCTGAATAAGGTGAGATAAAAACATAACAAAGACAGTATAACCGCCACATATCACAAATCAATATAACAACCAATATTAAGATCCCAGAATAAAACACAATCAGCGAAATACATGTAACAACTTCCAAGAAGTGAAAAACAAGCATTCAGAAACCAGGAACAGCTTCTTAGTAGACTTCTAAAATGTCAAAGAGGGAGCATTATGGCAGCCATTATAGGAAACGGTATGCACACCTCTCGGTATGCGTACTCTCCTCGAAGGGCAGTAATTGGGGACATAACCAGGAAGTAATGGAGTACTTTGTAATTGTTTGTGAGTCAAGAATCCAGTTTGGATCTGCCACTTCCAAGTCACTTGTCTCAAAGAGCAGACTTGGGTTTTTTTCATGGAAGTACAGATAGTCCTCAACTTACAGCCACAACTGAGGCTAAAATTTTTGTTGCTAAGCGAGACATGTTAAATGAGTTTTGCCCCATTTTTTTCCTTTCTTGCCACAGCTGTTAAGTGAATCACCACAGTTGTTAAGTCAGTAAAGTGGTTGTTAAGTGAATCTGACTTCCCCATTGAATTTGCATGTCAGAAGATCCCAAATGGTGATCCCATGAGCCAGGACAATGCCAGTTGCCAAGCATCTAAATTTTGATTATGTAAACATGGAAATGCTGAAACAGTCATTAGTGTGAAAAATGTCACTTTTTTTCAATGCCGTTGTAGGAAAAAAAATTACCTCCTTTCTTCTTTCCACAGAATTGAAACTGGGGCTGATTTCGTTCACAGAGTTGTTTGCTGTAAAGTGGTACAATCTGTCCATTGATAGTAAGACTGAAATCCACAGAGAGTTCATTGATGGCGTGCCCTGTAGAATAGATGTAGTATGAATCTTACCAGGAAGTCCGTAAGAACAAGACCTTGCCACTTTGCTTAGTTTTCATAAAAGGAGGGAGAGTGATAATGCACGTGTGTGTGAAATGTGGTTTATACAACATATCTCACCTATCTCCAAATTTAAAGCAAATGGACATTCCAACTTACACTCAATTACTTAAGAGAAATATCTTCATTGGGATATAGTGGGAGTTTGGTTTTGATCTAACAAGTATAAAATCCATCCTCAGTAAGGTTCATGCTTGGGACAACATTATAGCGTGGTTCGGGCTGGCTTAAAAACCTATTTGATTCTTGCAAGACCAGAGTTGAATGAAACTAGCTAGATCTAAAAAAATCAGGGTTACTTGTAGATGGCCTTCAGAGACAGTCACTCTACCAGGAAGACTGATAGTCATTGATGGCCATGACTTCTATGAATTGGCCCAATCTTTGAAGCCAGCTGTGCCTGTAGCCCCTAACACATCCAGTGTAGCAAATTCCAAAGTTTAATTGTACATTGTGTAAACCATTTTTTTGGGGGGGGGGGGAGGGCTTGTCCAAATCCTAATCACCTTCTAAAACCTGGTTTAAGTGAACACATTAGTAAAAAATGGACTTCAATTTCAGATTTTAAGAGACTGGGTTGGTTGCAAACAATGTTAAGAGGCAATCTTTGTCATCATCATCCAAAAATTAGCAGGGCTAGACTGTTTGAGGGAAACGTTTCAGGTGTATTAATGAGTGAAATTGATTCCCTAAACCAATAGTCCAGTGGCACGATTTGCCAATACTGCACAGAATGGTAAGAACCAGTTCTGTAGAACTGGTCCGAACTGATAGAATCCCACCCCTGACTACAATATATTGGGCAGTTATATACTTATTAGAAATACATATCTGGTTAAGATATTTCAGGGCAAGCACCAGTCTATGCCTTTCCAGAAGGAAGCTTACTTAGCAACACAAATATTCCCTAGTTTCTGCTTCGCCAGCATAGGCTGGCAGAGTTGGTGTGCTCCACCTCCCTTGGATTAAACAATGGCATCTATTAGAACCCAGGAAGTGTGCCTTCTCTATTGCAGTACCTACCCTTGGAATGAGACCCCCCCTGCCCCGCCCCCCAAGATCATGTGGTTCCATTTCCCACCCTGATCACATTCCAGAAGGCACTGAAGACCTGCCTTTTCCCTCAGACTTTGGGTTAGGGTGAATTGGGGCCCCCTTGATGAAGGAGGTATATGGACCAATTGGATGCCATATGCTTGTTTGTAAAGTACTCTGTTTTTATTCTGTTTTCTCTTTGATTTGTGACACAAAATTGTTTTAGAACCTAACCTAATGATAAAACAAATAATTTATAGCTGATAATTTTAATTCAGGACACAAAGCATTCTCTTAACCATTGAGTAACTGCCCACGTTTACTGTGATGGAGCACTACAGAGCAGTAAATTGCTATACTTACTTAAAACAGTTGCTAATCGGATGTTAACATCTCTGCTGGCTACATAGGTGCAACTGTCAACACTCAAAGCAACATCTTGCAGAGGATCTGCAGAGAAAAATAAGATGCAAACCAGGAGTGCTTGATTTTGCAGTAGTCTAGATAAGAGTTACAATTGTATAGATGACAAAACACCAGAAAGATATTTCTTAAACTAGCTTTCAATTCAATCATCTTCACATTTCCTGTGGACGTGATCTCTGTGGATCATTCTGCTTTCTGCCTGGACAATTCAACAGGGAAGGAACTTCAAAGCCTGTGGCTCTTGTCCTCTTGACACCATAACTTTATTAAGCAACCGAGCTTCCTGAGTAGAAGCAAATGTGGAGGACCAGACATTTCGTTGCCCTGAAATGCCACTTCTGCAATGCCAGTGTTGACATTTAAACCAGAAGCACATTCTTCAGGATGTGATTGGACCACCAAAGAAGCCCTCCAACTTTCCAAGCTCTTCCTCAATTTCTTTTTGGCAGACCCTCTTAAGGTTGGCCTTCTCAGACCTCCCTTGAAGTATCAGCTCCATAGATCAATCTCAGAAATTTCTCTGACTCCCTTAACGCAGAATAATTTTATACCTGTACATTTTGCAGATTTTCTTCTCTCTTATTCTGTGGATGAACAGATGCTATGTTTAATTTTAGCAGACTTGTCCACAGAACACACAGTGACAGACTGTTGTGTGGCATTCCCCTTTGCACATGGACAGTGTAGGTAATTTTGCAGCACCAGCATCTCATCTGCCATCATCAGGCTTCTGTATAGTGTGAGTCTGTGAGTCTGACTCACAGACGAACACAATACAGAAGCCTGATGATGGCAGATGAGATTCTGCCGAAACGTTGCTACAACTTTAAAAGCAGAACTATAATGATGTGGGAAAATACCCGAACAAAGCTGAATACCATACATACATATACATACATACATACATACATACATACATACATATATATTTGTGATCTCGCCAATGGATGCAGTTTCTGCACCAATGGATACAGTATGAACTATTTTAATAACAGTTTATGTTTTGGTTATCAAAAGAAAGCCACAGGTAACAAGGAAAGTAGCATTATAAGGAAACAGGTATAGAACCCTTTTGTGCTTTCTTCTCTACCTGACAAAAGTCAGTTTTTTTGTTTTATCATTACATGGTAACAGAGCATTGCTTAATATTTTTGCTTCTTCAACACTTTCGACAATTATTTTGCAACCCCACCATCACTGAGTTACCATTAGTAGGTTATGAAACCATTTTCTAACACCAACCCCTTGACATCTCTTTTCTGTGCTATCAGTTCCCCTTTTTGTCCTCAGTTGATTTTTTTAGGTTAGCTCTTTGACTTTGCACAAAAATGTTTCTCCTTTTTTCCCTATTCATGCATGCAGATGGTACAGTGTAGAAAAAGGTCTATAAAGGAGCTTGTTTGCCACAGGTGCCACTGGTAGCATTTTCAGTCTTTGCACTCAGTCTTCATGGGTAGATCAGTTGTGTTCCTGCAACAGGAACAGCTGTGCAGCAGTTGGTATTTTGTTGGTTGGTATGTTTTCAGACAGAGTAAAAAAGCCACACACACACACAAAAGGCAAATTGTTGTCTGTGTATTTGCAGTTTGTGCTATTGTTTTCCCCACTCTTTCCAATCATGTTGCTGCTTTGGATAATTGGAGCCTTTGCAGGCAGCTGATGGCACACATGATTATGAGCTTGGGGGTAGCCAGTTGCTATAATGATTTTATAATCTTTCTAACATAATAGATGTTGATGGTGTTAGTCTGAGTTTTATGATGTCTAACTTGTCAGCCATCCTTGTTTTACCAGTTGTCTGAATAGCAGGTTGTGGGGGTGAGGGGAATGAATGAATAAAGGGAAAATGCTCTACACAGTCTGTAAAATTCTCTCTCCTTTTTATTGTCTCAAAAGTTCCAAAAACTGGTGCAGAATAAGTTGTGCAGGAAAAATGCACAGATGTGTGTGTGGGGTGGTGGTGGTGGTGGTGTTTGTGAGATCCAGCTTACTGCTTAGTGAATTACTCTGTTCCAACCACCAATCCATCAATCTATCCACAGGCTGAAAATGTACACTTCCTGAATTCTCACAGAGTCAAAATGTTTATCTTCCTTTCCCAGAAGGAAATTATGCTGTACTTCAACCTCTCATTTCCCCTCCACGCTTGAGAAACAGACAGCCCTGTTGAATTTCTAGATTTCTCTTTATGCATTCTTCTTCTTTTTTTTAGAACTACTTGCCAAATTAGACCTTTTTCTTCAGAATGACTTGTTTTATAATCCCCCTCCTGATGTGTTGTGTGTGGGTTTTTTTGTTTTTGTTTTTAAAAATCCATTCTTGAATATTTGATTTGGTAATTCAGTTCAAAGGTGATTTGATTGGATCTCTAAACTGAACTATATTTCCAAACAGAATTAGCAAACGGATCTGACTCAAACCAGGCATTCTGATGCTAGATTCTGTGCCTTTAGAAATACTGTCTCCAAAGCAGTTCAGATGTCTGAATCAAACTGCATTGATTATAGTTTGATTGGAACTGAATTACAGCGCAAATCTAAATTGAATCAAATATCCAAGTAGGAGTTTATCTCATTTGTTTATTTGTTAGATGTATGTCCTGCCTTTGCTCTAGGGATTCAAGGCTATGTACACAGCACTCCTCCCACTATTTTTTTTTTAGATTGGCTGAGACAAAAGACTATAACTGAGTTAAAATCACCCTATGAGCCTCCATGGCTGTTGGGAATCTGCCAGCCAGGCAAAGAGGAGGGATCCAGTGGGGAATTTGCCTTGAATTGCTGTCTTCCACAGTGAGCCGCCCCTGCCAATTTCTACAAGGCTTTATCTTCTTGTTCCCAAGAGAAGGTAAGCAGTCTGGAGAGATTCTGGTGTATTATAGGTCAGTGGGCCCCAACTTTTGGGGCGCCAGGAACTGGTTTTCTGCAGACTGGAAGGGGCGTGGTTTCGCATGCTGCCAGCATCTTGCAGATGGAGCTTGGCTTGTTTGCACAGTCCAGTTTCTGACATGGCAAGGACCAGGGGTTGGGACCCCTGTTATAGGTAGACTACAATGAAGTAAGGGATGCAGTGGTTTAGTGGCTAAGACGCCGAGCTTGTCGATCAGAAAGGTCGGCAGTTCGGGGGTTTGAATCCCTAGCACCATGTAATGGAGTGAGCTCCCATTACTTGTCCCAGTGTCTGCCAACCTAGCAGTTTGAAAGCATGTAAAAATGCAAGTAGAAAAATAGGGACCACTTTGGTGGGAAGGTAACAGCTTTCCGTGTGCCTTCGGCATTTAGTCATGCCAGCCACATGACCACGGAGACCTCTTCGGACAGCGCTGGCTCTTCGGCTTTGAAACAGAGATGAGCAAGGCTAGAGCCCCTAGAGCCAGAAACAACTAGCACATATATGAGAAGGGAACCGTTATCTTTACAATGAAGTAGTCAACTTGAAAGCTTCACGTGTAGATTTAATTACTGCACTTGACAGTGGCTGAGGGTAGACTTGAATCAAGATCTTTTTGATACCAGCCTAATACCATAACCATTATACTATTCTCACTTTCATTTCTACATACTAGTTCTTTGCAAAGAACAATATTTTATCAGCCATAGTTGTGGTGCTCCATGCTGGTTTCTGATAACCCTATCAAGCATTTCTTGGACTATATTACCAAAATATGTCCATCTATGAAGACAACATTGTGGCATAATTTATTTAGCTGTACAAATCACCAACTTAATTAGTTAAGGTTGGGTCTTCCATAGATCATCGAGCATCCTCATGGCCACAGAGTCTCAATTCTGCAAAATTGTTACAATTGAATTATCTTTAGACATACACTTTCACAGGAATAATACCTAGGAATTTTGCTGTTTTCAAGCTTTTACATTTCCCTGAGAATCTCTGTCTTTGACATTATAACTACACCTTGATATTCCTCTCCCTAGCAACCCTCAGTTGAAAGCTAGAATGGGTTAGTCTTTATGCATTAAGGAATTGTTCATTCTTCCTTTACATTCTGTTTTAGCTGTTTACCTGAACAAGTAAGTTTTTCCAAGCAGTGGAAATCTTACACAATGAGTATCTGCAGTTTCTATGATGACAATATATTAGGCCCCAATCATTGTATTGAAATCACAAATGAAACATTTCAATTTCCTTTCCCCCTTCTCTCTTATTCCTGTGCCATTCCAGGTTCAATACTTTTGGACAATTAGTTGATAATTTTCTAACCAATTATTGATTTAAATGATTTTGGGGAAAGCAATCTTCAGTAGATTAATTGCATATGTTTCCAGACATTGATCTGGTTGAGTTCACACAGTTTGGGATGTGGGGGAGGTCCCATCACTCTGCAGAGTACATCAATGCTTTTGGACTTTCCCTAGTCCACTCCTGGGAATAGTTAAATAATGGGAAGGTGGTGGGTTATTTTAGCTCTTGTTTTTCCAGGTTCATGCTACAATAGAGCAGAACTGAAAATGAACACACAATAGACTAATTCTTAGCATTTCCATAGTGGTTTCTGCCTCCAAAGACCTAAATAAGATACTCCCTAATTAATTTTAACCACAGTCCTGGTGTGGAAATGATTACAACTTTTTTGTTAAAAAAAAAAAATCACAGCTAAAATGTTTTCTCACCACTGGTATGCCAGCTAGGGAAATAAATTACCTCCGGTGTTCCCTAAATTTCTCATAGTGATCACTCATATCCTGTACTTTTAAATGTTAGAACTGGAAGCACATTATACTTGCTCAAGACAAGAGTCCTACCCAGTGGTGGGATTCAGCCGGTTCGCACTGGTTCATGCAACCTGGTTGTTAAATTACACCACTACCACCCCACCTATCAAAGTGGATCCTGGGCGCTAAGCTGCAATGGAAAAATGGGCAATGGAGCAGTCAGAGTAAGGGAAGGAGAAGGCCGCTTTCCCTCTTTCTTCTCCCTGCCCCTCCTCCTTCCCTCATGCCAGCTGTTCCACTGCCTGTTTCTCCAGTGCAGCACAGCACCCAGGATCCAGTTTGATAGTGGGC